TTGATCATCGATCTATGCAATTGGAATACATTGCGAACCTGACACCCGATCCCATTAGTCGTCTGGTACGACAAGCATGGGTTAATTTAATCCAGATCTTCATAGGTGCCTGTTAATGGCATCTAGAAGGGATATAGAGAGTGAAAACGTAGGGATGTCAACTTGGATGAAACAAAAACAATGACGAGATTACAGAGGTTGGCCCTTCACAAGTAGTTAATTGGCGATGAATTAGCGAAATACTGTACACCGGCAGCAAATTTGAAATCCTATGCTACATTGTACAACGGTACACAAACGCATGGTAATATACTGGGGATTATACTATCCTTTATTAATCATAATTAGAAACATTTACAAATGAAACAACAACTGGTGCCCATTAAGTGTTTGAAACCCGAACTCTAAAGAATATCCGTCATCGTTGCCCTCAGTTGTTCCAAGTTTATTTGTAAACTAATAATATCCAGGTGTTTAGGCCTCCCACCACTGTTACCTATATAATAATGTATGGAAGAACGTTTGCGCATGACGGACTTTAAGGAGGGATATATCATTAGCATATGTGATGCATGTACGACTGATGCAATCACATGCAACGAATGAATAGCGTAAGCTTAATATATTACTCAAGAAAACAAAAGGAAAATGGTTGAATCAAATCCAAGTGGTTGTGCTGAACCTTACGTTGAATGGAATACCCGCCTACTTAAATAGTTAACATTCTTACAACATACCTTAACATCATTAATTCATTTGAAATCCACTGATAACATACTGGCTTCACGTGAAAGGGGCGCTATCAGACCTGAGCTGGAAATCTTGGTTCATCACACTGTAAAGGAAAATACTGCCTCTCTAACTTGTGTCTATACAAGGGCTGGTTGTCTTGGCCTCCGACCTGTACCTTATTCATCTTGTGCTGTCGTGTCAGTTCAGCATATTGACAATATCAGAAAGTAAGATGAGTACGTGGTGTGTGGTCAACAGCCATCACCTGCTTGCAGTGTGCTTGATATTTGAAGTAGGTCAACTGCAGCTGGTGGATTCTAAAATCTTCACGACAATTGGCATCAAGTTGTGTCAGTACAAGTGTATACAGTATGGATGTCGCGGTATCCGATACAACATTAAGACTCTTGCGTGTAATATGATTTTGGAGGAGCCTGAACACTTCCTTCATACCGCACATCTTTCAGATGTAAGTTTTGTACACAATGTCTACGATTACCTTCTCTTTTCAAACATGATTATATGCATATACATATATTTTCAAATGAAATTTCTATAAATTTTGGAAATGTAAGAAATGTTAGTCAGGTTAAAATGTTCAGTTGAACATACAGTGTGCACATGTGTTGATGAGCTGATACATCATTCATACATCATTTAGACAGTATGTCGTTTATACATCATTAGACAGTATTTCATTTAATACCTCAGTAAGATCCTACCCGGTAATATTCAACTTTTAAATTCAACGTAGTGTGAATGTCACTGTTTCATGTATCATGTATAATCAAATCTTGTTCGGATTTCGTAAGTGAGTAAATACGTGCATATTTAAAAAACCCAATTCTACCAGTAGCGCTGGATATTCTTCGTATTTTTACAAATACCGTCCAATCTCACTGATTATCAGGGATTCATTCATAATTTGCACCGGTATTTTACCCAATATTTGATAGAATCCGTTTTGAGGAAAAACACAACTGGCTATGCTTTTGGACTGACGTTTGATAACTAGGATCTTCACCATTCGATACATATGAATGCATATATCAACTGTGACCAATGTAGGACCGCTGTAACACAACTTCATCCTGACAATAGATACTAGAATAGGCATGATCTTCAATCCGAGACTTGACGGCATGGGGCTTACTCCAAAACTTGATATTACAGGTTTGTTGTTAATGCCCATTCACCTGGAAACCTGGATAAAAATAATGAACACTTGCCCTTCCATGTGATCCCTTCTTTTGTTCCCTCAGTATATGTTTGACATCTGTTTCTAATTGCAAATGTCCTATTTGGAGCAGCTTTAGCTAAGACATCTGATCCAAAGGTAACACTGATTGCAACATGGGAACATCGTGATAACATGAGATGATACCTGAAAATGTTTAGATTAGACTGGATGATATTTTTTTTTTGTATTTGATTGCCATTGAAAATGATAGACATTAGCAAATATGATGACACTGCTTTTGAAGACACTATATTGCAGCTTGGCATGAACCTCTGTCATAATATACGAACTGATCTAAGCTTATCGTATGGACATTGTACCCAGCGATACAGTTGCATTAACACTGGCATGAGCTCATTAGTTTATCAAACTCGTATTGATAAAATACATTCATAAACTATTTGAACTTTTCTTATGTATATGTGTACCCTTTGGTTCAACAGGTATGTTGGAGGTACATTGTAGATACTATTATAATACAAATTAGTCTGTTTACAATAGAAAGTCCACTTTATGTCACATGTTGAATAGTGGGAATAATGGAAACCGTTTGCCATTAAACTTATCAATACCCCTTTTTGTTTCTTTTGGATGGATCTTTCAGCCATAAATATCTCCTTTAACATTTTCTGATCATTGATAAATGCCGTGTTGTCTTTCTTATATTACATAAATAGGGTTGTCTTTTATTCAGTAATGTACTTTTCTCTAATATACCGAATCAAACTATTGTCATATATCTTTTTGATCATTGTCCTCCGTTTATATATCTTCCCCATATCAGTGAGTGAGTGACTTTTCTCATATCAGTATCATCTGTTTGATAACGGTTTTGTTCTGTTTTGTTTAGCAGCCACGATAGTATAGGTTATCTTTCACATTCCATGCTCCTTACCGACTTTGGAGTGCCAATTAGTGCGGTGTCAAAAGCCCTTGAACCTTGCAACAGGTGGCACCAGAGAAACAGAGAGGGTAACAGCATGAATACTGAATACTGAATACATGAATGTACTGGTAAATTGATTAGTGAGACAAGCTCATCTTGTCATAAGAATCTCGGCAAATCAAGATTAAAACATCTATCAAACTTTAATTCAGCTTAACAAACAAACTTGGCCAAGATCTAAACACCTAAAGAAGACTATTCAGAAATACAATATGAACAAATACAATTCAAGAACACAGTTTGGCATGACCAGCCAATTCATAGAACTGGGCCCATCCTACCATCCGTCTATGTGAAGACAGAGTTGAAGTGGTGTGAAGTGGTGTGTTAACAAGCTGTGTCGCTAAAGTTTTTGAAAGATGCATTTTTAAATACGTCTTCAACTTCCTCAGGGATAATAATATTTTATCAAACTTACAATCCGGATTTATGCCTGGTGATTCTACAGTAAATCAACTAACTTATCTTTATAATTTTATCGCAAGTGCCGTAGACCAAGGAAAGGAAATCAGAGCGGTATTCTGTGATGTAAGTAAAGCCTTTGACAAAGTTTGGCACAAAGGTATTATTCATAAACTTTACGCTTATGGTATACAGGGAGAACTTTTGGAGTGGTTTGAAAGTTATTTAGATAGTAGAATGCAGAAAGTGGTAATAAATGGATATAGTTCAGGTATCAAATCTGTTGAAGCTGGTGTACCCCAGGGTTCCGTATTAGGACCACTTTTGTTCATCATTTATATTAATGACATTGTAGATGGTATAGACAGTAACATTCGCCTTTTTGCTGATGATACATCAATATATATTCTATAATAGATGATCATATTACAGCCGCAATTATAAACAATGATTTGGCAAAGATTTCAGACTGGGCCAGAAAGTGGCAGGTAAGTTTTATTCCTAGTAAGACTGAGAGTATAACATTCACTCGTAAAACGAAAAATTATGCCAGGCCGAACTTACTAATGAATGGCGAAACTATTAAAGAAGTTGATAACCATAAACACTTAGGTATAACACTTCAAAGCGATTGTTCTTGGAAAGTTCATATAGGTGACATGGTAAAGAAAATTAGTCCAATGATCAATTGTCTGAGAAGTTTGAAATATCGTTTATCTCGGAAAACGCTAAATACTTTATATAACTCCTTTATCTTACCACTTTTTGATTACTGCAGTCATATATGGGATAATTGTATGATTGAACAGGCGATTTTACTGGAACATTTACACTTAGACGCATTAAGAACTATATGCGGTGCGGTTCGTGGCACCAGTCATGATAAAATATACAAGGAAACTAATTATAGCACACTGAAACAAAGACGATATAGCTCTAAACTTATAACTTTCTATAAAATGTATCATCGTCTGATTCCTGATTATCTGAATGATCTTGTACCAGGTAGAGTATTTCAACAAAGCAACTATAATCTTAGAGACAGTACTTCCATTCAAACTACTAACTGTAGAACCCAAAGATATTCTCAGTCATTTTTACCGAGCGCGATTATGTCGTGGAATTCATTGCCCGATGGAGCTGTAAACGCTATTTTCGTGAGGCAGTTTAAAACCATGATAAATCCAACAGAAACTGACAACTACTTTGATTTAAATTTTGGGACTAGATTTTGTCAAATCATCCATTGTCGCCTCAAGCTCGGCTGTAGTGATCTGAACGCAGACAGATATAATCGACATATATCAGAAACAGCTAGGTGTTCATGTGGTCATTATAATGAAGACGTCATTCACTACCTTTTTACATGTCGGAACTATCAAAATGTAAGAACAACGGTGTATTTTTATATTCAAGGATACGATGTGAAAACTACCTTATACGGTAACGGCGCATTGGATAACTCAACAAATTGTGACATTCTAAACTCACTACACCAGTTCATTTCTAGAAGTAAGCGCTTCCAGTGATTATCACCTCTACATATACATGTATATTCAATGTAAGACAAGATTTATATAACTTGATTTTCTGCGGCAGCTCTTTTCGTTGCTAGGTACCACCAACACCATAACCAAATATTTATTATTCAATCATTTTTCTGAGTGTAATTTTGTTTCAGTAGTATTCTTTTCTTGTCGGACTATTTCAAATATGTATCCAGCTATATTGGAACCGTGTACTGGAGCGTCGTTTATATAAGCCACTTGGCTTGTTCGCCTATCCAGGTTTCTGTATTGACGGAATAAAAATATGTTTAAACCAAGTGGTGTGTTTGGAAAAGGGAATACAAGTTTCATCCGGCCCAGTTCTGTGGTGGGGTGCTAGGGACATATTCCCCACGTTTTTGTTTATCTCGGCTTGAACAGCGTGAAAGAAATCTCAAGCAACTTTCAGTGTGACTGTACGTTACATCATGATAGGCAAAATGTACACAGTGAAAATAAAAAAGGATATAGAACGTCACTCATGTCAATTGACGTCTCTCTTTAGATCCAAGCTGGTGTATGTACATCCGCCACGTGCCGAGGGATGAGATGCCTGGAGACTCATGATGGAAAGGTTGTCTGTGTCAAAGGTACTGTTTTCATGTCAAAAATTGAATAATAAGATAAGATAAGATCTATATTATCCCAAGGGAAATTTGTTTTGCATCATATGCAGTTCTCTAGTTTTTCATTCATAAAGCAGCCATATATAACATTGCAAATGATAATCATAAGACTATTGCTTAAAATAATCAGGTTATAAATACATACTTTTTGTACACAAACATTGATATTGACTAGAATTTGGGCAGTTGGAAGACAAGTTATTGAATTTGTTGTTAATACATGTTATACTAGCTGGAACAAATGAGTGGCGAACACGTTTGTTCTAAAAGTCGGCATACGCAGCCTGCGTCCAGAATGATTGAGTATGTGAGTAGGATCACGTAAAATGTTGGTTGCCTTTTTTTAAATTTGCTGCTCATAACAACTGCTGACACTTTCGATTGGAAGCCCAATAATTTTAGACGCAGTGTTTACGATTTTTGAGAGGATGCTTCTGTTTTGGACAGACAGGTTCCCGAACCAACTCAAGAAAGTAAAGGGTTATAACACTTTGAATAAAGATTTTGTAAAATAACATAGTGATAGTTTGGTCGATTTTGAAATGTTTCAACTTCCACAAAAGATTGCATAGGTTGTTGTCGTTTCTTATATATTTTCGAAGTGTTTTCGTTCCAGGAGAGTTTTGAATCAACACTATACCCAAATATTTGTATTCAGTTACTCTTTCTATTTCATTATCTTCAATACTTACAGCATTTATTGTTGACTTAGCTTTTCTAAAATCTACGATCATTTCTTTGGTTCTTTTTTTGCATATTCACAAATAAACAGTGTGATTTCACCATTCTACAAATTTTGAAATTTCAGCTCTGTAACTTAGTTCTGATTCGCTAACAAGGCCTACCAATGCAGCGTCATCATCAAATTTAACAGAAACATGTTTCTGCGTTGGATACACAGTCATTGGTGTACAATATAAACAAAGTTGGTGAAATAACGCAACCTTGTGGAGCGCCAGTTGATGCGTTTACAAATGATGATTTCACATTATTATCCTGTGCAAATTGTTGTCTGTTAACTAGAATTGAATTAATCAATTTGATGATGTTAGACTTAACATTCATTCTGGAAAGTTTATCAATTAACAAATGAAGTTGAATAGTATTAAAGGCAGATGAAAAATCAACAAACATTATTCTCACATAAGTACCATAGTTTTCTAAATGTTTAAGAGAGTGATTGTTGCATTTTCTACCCCACGCCTTGCTCTGTATGCAAATTGTAATGGGTCAAGAACATAGCTGACTAAATTTAAAATGAGATCTTAACAATGCGTTTAAACATTTCATGGCAACAGAGGTTAGGGCTATTGGTCTGAAATCATTATTAACAGAGGAATTTTTCTTTTTTGGCGATGGAACAATTTTAGAGGTTTTCCAAAGAATGGGGACATCATGAGAATCAATTGATATCTAAAATAGCTTTTGAAAAATAACAGCCAGTTGCACTCTACATTCCTTAAGAACAATCCCAAACAAGTTATCAGGCCAACAGCACTTAGGTGAATTTATCTTAGCAAATGAATTAATCACATCATCTGTCGCTGGATTCTAACTGTCGAGGTCTAATATTTGACCCAATGATAGTTTTTATGCCACTCCATGCATTACGTAAATTGTTTACAGAAAATTGTCTTTCAATCTTTGTTTTGTATTCATCTTTATACTTCCTTGTGAAACAAGCAAGTAGCATGTTTCAAAACTAGAACTGAACACTATGTCATGTCTGTATGACTTCTTTCAGGTTCATACAATGAAACACATAGCCAGCCTATGGTTAACACTACGCTCATTGAAGCCTGCTCACTTGGAGACTTTCGTCGGGTTAAATACGTATTGTCTCAAGATACTGCAGACATCGATGTAGGAGATGAGAATGACATGACACCAGCGATAATAACGGCAAAGATGGGACGTCGAGACATACTTGAATTGCTTGTGAAGAAAGGCGCAGATTTGTCTCTATCCGATAATGAGGGAAGAAATGTCTTACATGTGGCCTGTATGGAGGGAAGCACGGAGGTAGTGAAGTACATCCACTCACAGAACATCATTGATATTGACAGTAGAGATGACTTACAGACCACGCCGTTGATGTATGCAGCACGGTTTGGGAAGATGGAAGTGTTTTCTTTCCTTATGGAAATAGGAGCTGATGCGTCAAAAGTGGATGAGAGTGGTGATAATATTCTCCATTTATCCTGTCTTGGAGAACATGTAGAGATAGCGAACTTTATCCTCACACGAAACATTCTGAGCGTAAACTGTACAAGAGAAGATGGCACGACACCACTGATGGTGGCATGTTATGGGAATGGAAGTATGTTTGACTTTCTGATAGAGAGAGGGGCTGACACCTTAGCAAAGGATGATGACAACAGTAATATTCTTCATCATGCCAGTCAAGGTGGAAATGTGGCGATAGTGAATTATATCTTGACACAAATAGGTTTGGACGTTAACAGTAAAAATAGAAGGAATATGACACCAGTGTTGTTTGCAGCATTTCATGGGAAAGTTGATGTGCTTGATTTACTAATAGAGAGAGGTGGTCATACCTCAGCAGTCAATAAAAAAAATAGAAATATTCTCCACCTTTCCTGCTCTGGGGGATTTGTGGAGAGTGTGAAGTATGTCCTCAAACTGAACACTGTGGACATAAACAGTAAACAGGATGACGGGAAGACACCAGTGTTGGTGGCAGCGTTTACAGGGAACAGAGAAGTATTTGATATTCTTGTTAAACAAGGAGCTGATCTATCAGTAGTTGACGAGGAAGGTGACAACATCCTTCATTTTGCCTGTATAGGAGAAGATAAGGAGATACTGAAACATGTTCTCACACTAAACATTGTGGACATCAACAGTAGAGGGGCTGATGGGATGTCTGACACCACTGCTGATTGCAGTGAATTCTAATGCAAGAGATATGTTTGATTTACTTATAGGCAGAGAAGCCGATCCGTCAATAGCTAATATTCATGGTCAGAACGTCCTCCATGTGGCCTGTGAAGAAGGAAATGAGGACATTGTGAAATATGTGATGTCACTTGGCATTGTAGATGTAACCACCAAGACTAAGCATGAATGCAGCTATGATAGCGAGTGATAACGGTTATTTATCAATCACAAAGCTACTGCCACAAGGCTCTCAAGTGAAGTAGTATCGCAAATGCAAATAGTATTAATCATCCACGTGAAAGATAATATTTTGAATAATTACAGATAGATGATCCAAGTTTTCATGTGACACTGAATGGCATAACATGTATAAACATGACTGTTTCGTTTTCCAATAAAGTTGAAAAAGAACAAGAAGGTTCTTATTTGGCAGTGACAGCGTTGTATTTGTATCACAGTGACGTCACGTTGTTTATCCTGCTCTCGCTGGGACCTGTGTCTGTCTGTGTAAGCTACACAAGGATGGCATATACATCTGAGATTACACGAATGGAATGGACATACTTTGTTTCTGGTGTGTGATTGTCATGCTTGTGTTTTGTTTTGTTATTGGCGTTTATTACCCATACGGGCTAGGATACACAGGTGATTATTTTTGTGATAATCGCACATGTGCTTTTAAGTGATTCTCAACGTTGATAGATCAGCTAAGCAGAGAAGAAATATAATTGGTTGACGGAACTAGTTTTCTTGATCCAAGCTCATTGACAACTTTTACTGTTTTATTGATAATAAGAACATGCTGTACTCATACATTCCGAGATAAGAAAAATAAAACATAAAGGTTAAAGAATATGAATGCTCTTTTTATTAGACATTATTATTTTTCAATAAGATTGCGTTATAAATAGTAGTCTTTATATATAAATAAATAATCTTTAAAAAACCAAAACAATTGTTTGCATTGTTTGTAAACAAACACGGCCGCTATTAGGCTAACCCCGATCAAGGTCAATGACCTAGTTAAAGATGACGGTGACTTAATAGGAAGAGTGATAAGAATTTTACAGCGATTGAATTCCTACAACCTGTTTGTTGTTAAAACTGAATTCTGGGAAATAGAAGCAGCAAGATACCGACTAAAGGTGCTACCTAAAACTGTGACAAGTAAGTCTGCCATGGCGTCCATGCCACAGAACCAGGCACAATATTCCGGGCACAAAAATGTTCAATCAATAAACAGTTACTCTTCAATTAATGAGAAACAACATCAGTCCATCAATAAATTGTTGTCAACCCCATGTAACTCCACCGCTCTTCCCACTCATCCTCAGCCTCAGGCTGCCACAATGACGTCACAGTGTTTGTCGCATGCCGTAAATCTTCATTTTGTACATACATTATTCTCAGGTCCATTTTATGGTGGTGTATTCCACTTCAACATCTCGAATGACTCCTATGTGAGTCGACCATGTGCTCCAAAGAGGCGTATTCTTCCCATTGACTCGGATTCCAACTAGAGTTCCCCTTCTTGGAACTGCTGTACTGTACTGGGACCAATGACGTGACTCAAACACGCCTTCCACAGAACAAAATATTGTTTAATATTCAAACTTGTTAAGTTTCTTGACAGAAAACCTTTTCTAGATGTATTCGTGGGATGGTTGTCTTTTAGATTTCCCAACTTTTAACCGTTGACTTTCCGAAAAAAATGACAGGTTTTTGCCAAAGTGTGTTTTAACACTACACTAGACACACGTCAGTAACTGTTGTGAATGAACAATGTTCTGGCGCACTAACTTGATCAAATAACGTTTTAGCTTTATTACGTTCAATGATATTGCATTTAAAAGATCATTTTCATCATATTAACAAATGTTAATAAACTATTCCATAAAAAATTATTTTGTTGTGTTCTAAAGCGATTTTACGAGGTATTATTTTAAAAGGTTCGGCACTATGAACATTGTTTCAACGCGGGCATATTTGCGGTGGTCACTCGTACCTCGTTGGCTATTCTCTAAATATCTGAGCATGGGTCCAAATACGAATGTCATGACCCTACTTACACATAAAACTGTGCTGGTGGTGATATCGTTTGTTCCAAGTCTTGCTCTGTATTAAAAGATATCACCATTCAGAGCAGGGAGAGGGTGCAAGCGGGTCCCTCGATTTTCGTTTCTCATAATCGATTTTCTTGTTTGCTGATATGCCGCCGTCGTATGGCAAAGGTACTGTTGTGCCGTGTCCAGCATTAAATCTTTAGTCTGTATGCAAATTATACAAGCGGATTGACAGGATATGTGCAAACACATCGCGATTTGCAGATTGTCACTGATATATTTATGTAATTTTCTGGACGTTCCAAACTGAAGACATTTTGTGGCAGATCAATTAGTGTACGAGCCCTAATGAAATATGTTGAAATTCCAGACACAAATTTGGGAAAGATTCTGAATCATATCACACTTCAAATCACAACTGAAGACATATCTTTTCTGTGATTTTACTCCCGGAAGAGCTTCGGTGTGAAAAGGCGCTATGTAAATGGTCATATTGTAATTATTATCTGCCTTTGGCGCTAAATGGAATCTGCTCTGAAGGAGAATCTAGACTGGTTATTTCATTACATTATTTCTTCATCAGATTCTGATACTTACTTCATTTAGTGAGTGCGTGAGTGCGTGAGTTAAGATTTAAAGTCACATCGGCAATATCTCAGCCATATCGTGACGAGAACATACTTGACATTGAAATGAAATATGTGTATATTATAAACAAACTGTCGTCAAAGAACAGTGCAACAACTAGAATATCACAATTAGCGTGGAAAGGTAAAACTAATAGTACTATTTGGACAATACCATATAGAAACAGGCTACAGATCGCCAGCAACTGAAGGAAGATCACTATACCAGGGACCATGGGGACTATGCTACCTGCGTGGACCCTAGCTGGATTTACACCATCCCTTCAGCTGCTGGCAATTGTAGGCAAATTTAGCCACAAACTAAAATGACAATAATACTGTGAGTAAAAATGTGGAAGGTTAAATTTTACTTCGAATGTTTTGGGATTTATGTATTCTCTCAGGAGGACAATAATTTTACGGTACTTCAACCTCCTTTGAGGATAATACCACTAAAAATCCAAGTTGCTATTTGATTAAGTGTATTTCCTCTTGCAGTAGTAAAACTAAAAGTGGAATAAACTCTGTGAATTACAGTAATTTGATCGTATGCGGTTACGGATATATTATTTCATTTTTGGACCGTGCGTACATGTAATTTTCTTGCTGTACCTATCCCATATTTCACATGGAAACCTCACACCAGAGAGTGAGTCAGTCTGAAACAACAACACTTAGACACACCTAGACAACACTTGTTAATGAAAGCAGCAAAACCATAATCAGTTACCAAGCACCTGCATTTTGTGATGGATCCAAGCATGGTGACACAGTTGCTAGCGCCACTGTCCTTGGATCCCAAACCATAACCAAACCATCAAGATAACCAAAAGACAGTTCACAGCAAATCACAAGCTAAATTAACACCTCTTAAATGTATACTCGGGGTCATTAATGAAGGGTCAAGCTATTGGTAACATAAATTGTAAAATCTTCGTTCTTGTTTGAAATATATACAACTGAACGTTTTACAAACTTTCTTAGCAGTATGGAAAAACACATCAGGCCGTTGATATGTCATTATTGCGTTCTTTAACGTCCGATACATTCTTTTACAAATGGCACAGTTTTTATTCGAATTGTCAATATGGAAATCCATCTGCCACTTAATGTCGATGATTTGCACGTGCAAATCGCTCTATCCATGCAAAGTGGAGGACAATACACATGCATTGGTGGTTTTTCTCTGTCGTTCACTATTCAGGTACCTGTTTGGAATCGCAGCTTGAAATGAGACGTGTTTTGACACTTGTTGAAAGTGGTCAGAATATAGGCCTTTTGGAATCTGGTCAAACACGGCGGCAGGTTGCTGTCCGCTTTAATGTGAATCAGAGTGCTATTGGTAGACTGTGGCCGAGATTTCAAGTAAATGGGTCCGTGAATATGCACGTCGACCAGGTGCCTCAGAGTCACAACAGTTCGAGATGATAGGCACATGATTAACACTGCGTTACATAACAGATTCCTTAGCGCAGCAGATCTTCAGACAGAACACTTCAATGTTAACAATGCAAAGATATCCAGGAGCACCGTTCGCCGACGTTTAAGGGCAGCCGGACACCGCTGTAGGCGATCTGCAGGTCGTCCACCACCAACACCACGTCACAGGCAGGCGCGTTTGAGATGGAGTAGACATCATGGCTGATGG